GGTAGCATAGGTACTCACCAAGATATCGTCCGTCATACAGCATAAGTATTCCTACATATCGATCTAATATATTGCCTAGATCAGTCAGATCTGACACTCATGTGTACTAGCTGCCCAACTCGCTCTGGGACTGGAGATGCATGCAAGCGCTGTTGTATGTAATGTAAAGTAACGCAGCGAAACATCGGGTTCATCGCACGCCATCGGACCCTCGATCGGAGCTGTGTATCAGTCCCTCGACTAGAGCTAGAGAGCTAGAGATGATGCTGATGTCCTTTCCTTAAAAGCTACTAGTCTATCATGCTGCATATCCCACGATATACAGCATTCGGGTCCACACTACACTACCTACCCGATAGCCTGCTGAGCAGATGATATACTAATATTCTATCACCATCTAATACGGTCGTTCCTGTTTATACCTATACGATCATGTTTTATTGACCACCTAGGCATTATTTTTCGATCGCAATACTTTTTAGCCGCCGAACAAGCGGACTGAAACAATTATCGCCAGCCCAAATTTGGCATGCATCAGCGCTTACGAGACGAGCGGTAATTCTCATCACAGAAAGTCATAAACATTAGCAGTTTTGTTTTCTGTTGGATTTCTTCCCGCTTCGTTATTTGCTATCCCGTCAATTCCGGGCTCGCGCCAGGCCGCAGACAGACAAGCGCAAAGCTGCCCGGCAAGCCATCGTCATGACCAAAACCCCCTCGTCCAGTCCGCTTTCTTCCCTGCATATTATCTTATGCAAGTGCTCCCTTCTCCGCGCCGTGGGCGTGGTAGCACCATGGCCCGCTCTACGCCTGATCCGGTCTTTGCGGACAAGGTCTACCAATCCCTGGTGCATACGCTTGCTTAGAGGTTCGCTGCCGGGCTTCGTGGCAATCTCTTACTTGAGTCAAGGTAATAATGTTTGAAAGACAGCTACCCGCAACGGCAAACTTCCGAACAGGCAGCCAAGCCAATTGGCGGGGATGGTTTTTTTTTGGTTTTTTTTCTTTTTTATACCTTTCCCATCTTGATCTTCCTCATACTCATTTATGTATGTCTGTATCGGCTGATTCCTTCATTGGACCTGATTGATATCATCTCTACGGCTTGCCACTCGGAGCAAAGGGTTATTCTCAAAAAAAAAAAATTTTGGCCCGTCGATTAATTTCATATTTATGCACTTCTCACCGGCATCAGAATAGCTGAGCCACGCATGCACTTCTATCTCGGTCAATAACTATAGTAAAATACTAAATACTAAATTTCAGATCTGGGGTTATATAGTCACTAGTTTTCATACGATTCTAGCCGCATCGTCGTATAATTTGTATTATCCTCTCTTTTCCCACCTTCGGTGTTTGTGCACACGAACTCCACACACACATACGGCCTTCTTCGGATCGAGCCTTTTCTCTGTTGGGGAATGCATACCTAACACGTCACCCCACCGTCGTTGGGCTCTGGACTCACGTTATATGAGATTTGCAGAAATATACTTCCTTTCACGGGCAAGATTCTCATTACGTCTAAATCTTATTAGGTATAAGACAAAGTCTTCTCGAGTCTACTCTCGCTAGTCAATTCATTCTCAAAATTCCCCCTCCCCACGCGGCCAACTATTTCTCATGTGGAGACGGTGATCTTCCGAGTGCTTATCAACAACCGAGTGAGAATCTTAGTGTTCCTAAACGACGCTATACTATCACGTCAATATCGATTCCGTTTGCTTTCTGCTACCTTCTGGAACCGGCATCAGCTGCAAATACTGTCAGGCTTGGTGTGTAACGAAACCAAATCCCGTGGTGGCTGTGGAGGATAAGCTGGATAGGCGACCTTTTTCTCTTATGCGGTGAGACATCTTGATTACTTGCCATCATGGGATCATAAGAGCTTCATTAGCCATGGATCCGATTCTACAGCGTAATAGAACCCCGTCCGCCAGGATGGCGGTCCAACAGCTTAGCCCTCAGTTGCTCAATGGCTGTTTTCTCGAGGCTGATCGTGCCGATATGGTTGGCTTGAACCTTCAAGGGCTACGAAATTGTCTCCCAGAGCAGCTCCATCCCCATCTAAGCGGGATTATTGAAGAGATCTATAACACAAGCCGTTTACTACGCGACCTTGCAGAGCAAGCCCAGATTCACGTCTCTCAGTTGCCCGCAGTCTTTGACTATCTCAACGTCGTCTTGCCATGTCTCTGCAAAACGCTCCGGGATATCATGTCGTTCTACGAAGACAAGTCAATGAGCAAGGAGTATCGATGGAGAACCATGTACCATAAACTTGGTAGCGAGCTCCCTGGTACCACTCTACCGGCTAGATTTATCATGTATAATCAATTCCTACGACTACTCCAGGAACTTCTAACAAGGTATGGTTCCTACTATCCCAATTAACTCGTTAATAGGTCCTTCTGCTACCCAGTTAGATAGGTCTCCGAACTTCGATTTGAATGGGATGGAATCCTTACGTATCCGTATTCTCCAACTACGCGCAGCTAGGAAGATACGTCAGTAACTCATGTCTCCTTATTATTACGATGTAGCTAATCCCCCTTTTAGCCCCACCAAGTCCTATTAGAACGGATCTCATCCGACGAGACGAGGCGTTGGAATTCTGGAATCGAGAGACAGTAAGCCTTTCAACACTTCTTTCTAGAGGCAGTTATATTGAAACCGGGCAGAATTCGCACTGGGCAGAGGCAATCTTTACTCAACCCCTACCATCGCGGAGGGAATTTAAGTATCAAGGATGGTAAGTTGTTTGCTTCTCTAACTGGGCGCTTTAGGGTCAAGTTGCAGCTAATATCGGACAGCTCAGATGCGTTCGGCCCTTTGCAGAAACTCGGCCATCTCCCGCCACTCCCACGAGACGTCAAGATACTAATCAAAAGGTAACTATCCGTCTAATTTTCTTATGGTGCAGGCTTGCTTCGATAATTACGTACGCTATACTAATATAACCTACATCACAGGTCATTCGATAACGATCGTATCTCGGTTATTTTCTTCCTGCAGCTTAGAGACCAGGCGCCATCGCTTCTGATTCGATCAAAAGTCGCCAGCCAAAACTGGGTCTCCGTCCTCGGTGTCCACGAACTCTCTATCCGAAGAGATAGCGATTCTGTCCTGCACTTATCTAGATGGAGCCGCTCGGAGCGGAAAGTCAAGCCTTGGGCTGACTTGTCGTTTCTGACTTGGGAAGGTTAGATTTCCCCGAAACTTGAAAATGTTCATATTTTTAAGAGCTAAGCTGACGAGAAGTAGAATTGGTACTCTTCTACTGCACATTTCTATGCCTGCGAGTTCGTAGCCAACTTACACTCAACGTCAACCCCGCCGAATATCACATTCGCAAGGAAAGACGTCTGTTTCAAGCGTGAGTTATAAAGACACCAACTAGGTACACAACGAAGTAGCGAGGCTAACATGTAAGCTAGCCAAATCACCGATGATGGTTATCAACATGTTCTAATGGTATTCGAGGACAGCGCCACGGGCGGCTGCCGCCTCCATGCTGCTGTCTGGGAAGGCAAGCTGCGAGCATGTCCCGTATGGACGGCATTCAGTATGTGTTCATTTATGCATTCTAACAATTCCCCTTACTCTTATTTTCATCTCTACTCCTACTATGTTGTCCCATCATCAACTAATCGCGATATTTCCCTATTAGTCCCGCCGAATGTGTCTTCGTCCTGGCTCCTCCGCAAATCGAAGCGTCGCATCTGGCTGCGTGATATACAACCATACGTGTTTTGGGAGAAATATCGACCCACGAACCAGCGCAAGGGTCGCCTTGGCGCGTTCGAACTTTTATTCACAAATAGCGAGGCCGCCACGCGGTTTCAGGAGCTGTTCGCCTCGTCCCCGGATACATCAGCTGCGTCGGCCGCCCCGGATCCCTCCGAACAAAACGATAGGGCTGCGGATGCTAATTAATCCATTTATACGAAACAGAGAATGGAAAGCGAGAGTAAACAGCCTCTCTAGAGACGATTTAATATATACCATACGGATAATAGCGCCGAGAAATTCATTGAGATTTCTTCTCTCTTCCCAGATGTTCCATTTCATTTACGAGTCTGCGCGAACTCGGATATAAATAGGCCCTCGGCTGGAGTAGCCAGCTCGCACGAAAGCTGAGGCTTGTACGATTCGAGCACCTGCGACATACCTAACTCAAATTCCCGAAACAAAGGATTTACGACAGACACGCGTCTACATGACTATATCCACGAGTTAACGAAGCCCACGATATTTCCTATGTCACTTTTCCCTTAACGAGATTGACGACTGAAAATGATGATGACAAGAGAGGCAGATTGTTCGATGATACCCCCTTTTCTTTATCATAGCATTCAGCGAAATTTTGATTTATTCTCCTATTATTTACTATTTTTATTTCACATCTATCTATGGTCATCTGACATACACGTGATTAAGTCAATAATGGTTCCGTCGACGATGAATTCTATCCATGTATGGAGGCGAAGGAGGCGGGGTTATCCTATACCTGTCTAATTGGGTCGAATAGTAGTTCAAGTTGAAGGTACCTTCCAGCCATTATTTTTCATAAACATAGTTCTCTTATATCCTATTATATAATTTATAGTCAAAGCGACCATATGAAATCACCAAACTCCTCTGAATAAAGACCCTATTATTCCCGCGTCGCTACTATGGATCTCATCTATTATGTTAGGAATAGTTCATATGATCTATGAACTAGGGAAAACCGGTGGTCATATTGTTGGTACGAAGAGTAGTGCGAAAGCAAGAGAATTAGGAGGCAGATATGTACATAGATGCTACTACTTTAAGGGAATATAGTACCTTTTCATAAAGTACAGGAATGGCAACTATAAGGACAGCTCTTCAATCCCTTCCCAGCCGAAGTTATCTGATACCCATAGTTACCCCTGTAAGCCAGTTTCCTTATTCCTCCAGCTATATCCACCCTTAAAGCCTAATAAAATATGGTTGTCCGTGTTCAAGGCTTGAACCTAGACCGCTCTCAGGCCCCACGACCGGATACGAGGATCGTTTGTATGCACTAGTCGCCTCAATGCTTCAAGGGAAGCGTAGTCGCTGAGAACTCGGATGCGATGAAGTTTGTCATCGGGATCTTTATAGGGCCAAAGTATACCGTTAGTTACATACCACGGGCCGTGTGTCTTGTTCCATATCTTGTCTGTTGGCGACTCTGGATCGTTATGGAAGCGAGGGTAGTTAAAGAGCTCCGTTCTATAGAGAGGCTCTCGATACATGCGCAAACGCTCCGGGCCCGAGACAGGGTATGAGTTGTAGCAGAAATTGGACCACTCTGCACGCATTGGAGCAATGTCGGTCCTAGTTGGGCAACACCAACGATAGAGTCTTTGTATGCCGACAAGTTGTGCGAAGGATTCCAGCTTCAAGCATTTATACGGGTCTTGCCGTCCCAGATGAACTACCCGTTTCCCGTTTAGAATTCCGTCATTGCTGAAGCATTTGCAACCCGGACCATGCTGAGCTTTCGGTAGAGTGATATAATTTTTATCCAATGCAACTATAAATCATGTAAGATTAGATATCTGCGTAAAAGGGATGGCACAATATAATAGCAAGGAATGTCTACATACCTAAGAACCTATACGGCCAATGACTAATGACCTCTACCTGGACACGCTCTCCAGGAGAGAAGTTAGCCCAGAAATCTACCACCCACTCTGGGTATAGAGGTTTTTCCAAAAAGGGTGTAAGTGAATGCTTGTATCGATTGGGCATCTGATGGAACAGATTCAGAAGTATTTCGCGCATATAAAGAGCTCGAATCTTTCGGGCATGCTCTGTAGCCGTCTCTGGAAGAATGTCGTGAAGCTCCGGTATCTTAAGTCCATAATTGCTTTCCAGTATGCACTCGGCTGCATCTTGGAGCTCGGGGAGATGAAAGGCAGTGTACATCCGAAATAGCTTGATATCCCATTCACGATGGTGGACGTAGTCATTGAAGAATTGCTTCAGCTCAGCTACATCCAGGGGATTGACTTTGCGGGACTCAATAGCCATAACAGCCAACTTGTAGTCATTGGGATCAAGCCGCCGAAGGATGAGGGCCTTGGCGATGTGATTGGAATTTTGGACGTATATCTTATGGAATCTTTTTAATGCGAGAAACAGTGAACGAACTTCTCTGGCACTCTCCATGAAAACGAATATCTGGATGAGAATCTCGGTAGGCATGCTTTCAAGCCTGCTTTTTGTAACTTGTCCCGCCATGGTGTGAAAAGGGGAATGTACTCCGGGCATAACACGGGGAAACTAGACGAGTGCGTATGAAAGAATGAACAATAGTTAGGAAGGTAGCAGACACAGAAGTAAAAGATATAAGGCGTGATTATCCTGGCCGTCAAAGGGCTGTAGGGTTTTCGTACGCGAGGTGGTGTGAAATAGGATGTCAATAGTCAGAAATTCTCGAGATGTGCACATTCGCGAAGTATATATAATTTTGAGATCCTGAATGCAAACATTACCGACCTAGTATCTGAAGTGATTCATGACGCCCCCCGACGTGTAAGAATCAATATAAAGTACCTAATTCAGTGAGTTTGTACGTTATGTATCTAAAGTTGTGCGTACCTAGGTACTTAAGCATCTGTCAACTAGGACGTAGATTCTCATCCTATCACCTAGGAAACTCATATGTTTCTTCCGTCCAAGCCAAGAAAAAACAGGTCACGATGTATAATCTCCAGGTCAAACCTGTCCTTGGTTTGGGAGGGAGGCTATGACTGTATATAATATCAAGTAACGAAAAGGTTGACTGACCAACTGGATGAGTCATTGCCTTGAAGAAACTAGTATAGATATGGTACAAGTTTGCTAGGACTAACTACCTTTTGTGACTGTCATGAGGTGGATGTGAAAAATGAAAGCCCGTGACTACCTATGCATACTGAAAATGTCCTATATTTTAGACCTTCCAGACACAACTTTTAGGGCTCAATGCCTAGAGCTATTGCGCCCCGATCCCCTATCCAATGTCACATCTCCCATTGGTTTTTATATACTGGCCAAGCTGGAACCAACTTCTCGAGCAGAGTAATCCGGTACTTTGTCTGTGAGCCCTTAGGAAGCAGGTACATACACTTGCTAGAAATTTTGGTACCCTGCTGTTTCTGACCAAAAGGCTTCTCGCGTCCAGCGTGTCGCTATAGGGGGATTACTAGTTGTTGGGTGCATTGTGTGCTGCTAGGTTGCGATGCTCCTTGCATCTTGTTTGACTGTTGAACACTTATGCAATCTGGTGATGTTGATCTGGTATCAAATCCTCAATGTGTTTAATGTCCGTTACCTATGTCCACTATAACAATATTTCATATCTTCTTCGGTAAGCAACATCTCATAAAATAAGGAAGATCCAACTTGAGGGTGTAAAAGTTATCGATTTCTAGACATAGTATCAGACGAAGCCTGTTAAGATTCACCAAATTCTACCTGATCACGTTGGATTTATTGAGTCCCCTGAAATTCACATCAAATGTACCTTTTATTTCTAATATGTTGTAAGTTTGAAAATATTACCTAGTAGAGGTTCGTGATAAAACGTGGCAATCAAGGCAACTGGCAGGCAATTAGCAGCCACGCAATCCAAAATCTAGATATACGACTAAATCTACGCGAATATAGTTGCTTTGGTTTTCCTTGTTATTCTACCCTTAAAGAGCAATCAAAAGCTCTAGACCTGATTGGCACTGAAGTGTTTGGTGGCCGTATCCGCCGTTGGCTAGATTAAACAGTTACAGCGGCGCCATCCAAACTGATGAAACCAAATATACTGCACCGACGTTAAATTATAAGATATGAATACAGCCACGTGTAATATATGTGGTGAGAATTAGGTATTGTTACCATAGTTTCTATGTATTTCACTAGTATGAGCTGTACTGTCTGCTGACAGCACCCATCTTTTGAATTTTTATCTTTTAGAATTTTCCTATTATGACAAATGCCAATAAAAGAATGTTTTTACCTAGAATTAGATGAAACAGCCTTGGGGAGAGTTGGGGTAGTTCATATAGCGCATCGTAGCATCGTACGCATTAGTTTAGTGCCATATTGGTACCAAGATCCTCTTGTTCGGTTCAGGTCTATGTACTGTCTACTACGGGGAACCAAGGGGAATGGTAGGTAGCTAGTATGTTTGACAGGTTAAAACCAGACACACTATTCGTCTCAAAATAGAGCAGAAGCTTGATACCTAGTCAGAATAGCGTCAAAAAAAAGATACCCCATACTAGCCATCACGATATGGAGCATGTTTTTTGACGGCATTCTGCTATTAGTACATCCAGAAGCCAGAAGCTTATTCTGCTAGTTAGTCTTGCTCGTCTTCCGAATTAGCTGGCATATCTACGGTGGTACGTCGGGTGTTCTAACCTAGATGGGTTAATATAATGTCCGGAATGGAGTTTCTGTCCCAGTATTTTGGACAAACGCTCCAGTAATAATGACTGTTGGTATGTATTCATTACATATTCTCTTTCGCGGAAAACCTTCCGTGCAGCTGTAGCGCGACGGGACCCTGCATCTAATATGCCCGACCAACTAACGTCGTGAAGAGTGGCAGGCATTGTACAAGATATATGTACATACTATACATACGTACTAAAGGCATCCAGCTCGTGGCAGAAAAGGAGCTTTGAATAGCGGGTCTTCAAATCTCGATCTGGCCCCCGGGAAGTTCTCCACTGATAGCATGGCGTCAAGCATCGCTATCCAGTTATATTAAAAAAAAATTGAGCTTGTAGGCTTGGGCTGGAGCTCTAAACGACATTTGGTTTGATTCCTGTTAATGCTATTGGCATGTCGCTCCAGCTTCCTTCTATTTGAGCCGCATTGTATGTAGGGAAGGAATATGCACCAGTCATAAAGCTCCGAAGGCGTTCTTCGGAAAAGGGGTTCAGCTCCATCCTTATTACTACATTGCTGTAATATGTAGTGGCGCTTTGCGTATGGCATATGTACTTCATGTACATATATGAAAGTAGTCTAGGCCTTTCCCCTCAAGGAAGTTGTTAGGGTCTGAACTACAAGGGAGCCTAGGTGCCAAGCCCCTGACCGAGAACTTCAGTAGTGTGGGGCGCTGGATTAGGGGAAATCATGTACGCATGTTAATCCGAGCTCCATATGTTGATCAGTATACTAAAAGGGATTTGAACCCCAAACTTGGCGTCTGTTAGGGTATATGTATGCTCTATATATGTAGGTAGGTATGTAGTTTTGCTTCGTCTCTAGATCATGCCGGCTATATAATTATCCTGGACTTCCTGTTCCGCCCGTCTGGAATGCCTTGCAGTATGTGGTTGGATGCGTCGTCAGGGTATTGCTCAGACTTTAAGAGTTCTACCTCGTGGTCAGATTGCCCCTCATGCCATCATATGTGTACAGGCCTGTACATAATATGCGTAATAACGAAACGGATCTGCTCCGGGCCGAGAAACGCGTTGCCCTATAAGGCAATTTAAACGTTGAAAGCTTTCAGACTTTTTGAATGGGGGCGTGCCTTGAGAACCTCGATATCTTGTTCTCATTACAAGTTCGGTTTCTTTGGTATACTTCGTTGAAAATACAATAGGAATATTAGTAGAATAAAAAGTTTATTAGTCATGTGTATGTATTCCTCATCACAATTTCACATTGGCGATACTTATGTTGAAGTAATAGCTGTGGTGATCACTATATATGTAGTACGTAGTACATAGTAAAAATGACTCGATGGACCGGGAATTACCAATGAATACCTAGGGATTAAGATCTTATCTTTAAGTTGCATCCTTCCGAAAATCCGTTCCAAGGTTGGTTGGCATGAAAATTCAACATCTTCTCCAAATATTTCTCCAATTAGATACCTAGGTCGGTACGTAAGCATGGCAATAGTCGGGTCTCTTGTTGGAAATTGAAACCTCACCACTTCGTTTTTGAAGGTAATTACTTAACTACCATGTTTTCACTTAACTTTTAGTTATTATTCTATAAACGTCTTTAGTATAATCTCGGATACCTCCTAGGTCACGAAATTTAAAGAGCCTTAAAGAACTTGAATTAACCAACCAGATATCAGATGATATAGTCCTTAAATACCCACGTAACGTATCCTAAATAGTGCCTAGAATCTAATAACTTGTATGTATTCCGGGGTTAAGTACCGACAACCTTGTTCTGCTCTAGTGTTTTGCTTATCCCCACTACATAGCGGACATTTATGCGCGGGCTCGTTGCGCGGACCCTCGTGCCAGACGTGCAGACGTGCAGACGTGCAGGGAACCCGGTCAACCCAGGAAACCAAGGGGTCTCTATGGGTGTGAAGTGACGAGAAGGAGATATGAAACCGAAGATCTTAGCCAATATTAGAGGAAAACTAGTGGAATACTGCAACCTTAAGCCTAGGTACATGCAAAACATCAAGACCTAACGACCTTTACAAAGGCTTATGTATTCATACTAAGACACGGTGGAGTTGAATTTCGAGTTCTATTTGATATCGTTTCATTCATAGGATATCGGCTCCAAACTAACGCCACCACCTGTGTCTGTGTGCGCTACATACCTATTTCTTCAGACTACATTAAAATCCACTTACTAGTTGAATACCTATTCAACGTCTCCTTCGCCGTGCGAGATCTGGGGTTTGGCACCATCTGACTTTCTCCTAGCGCTAGGCTATTGAAACGTTTCTGGGCGGACTTGGCCTAGACAGACATTCACATCCAATTTCACTTCGCTTCGCTTCGTATGATATAGATCTGAACGGGACGGGTCTGTATGAAGGAAGCCCCACGTTTATCAGTGATATTTTTCGAGCTTTGGACTTTTATGGTATATCTTCATGTTCCTTATGATTTCTTGCTTCGTTTCTTTCTATTCGGCAAGTGTTCTAACTACCCGTTACGGGTGTTTGCAGGAGCATACAACAAGAGCATTATTTAATCAGCCAACTGAGAATCGTCAAACATGACGAGCAGAGATGGGATTCCTTCAAAATATCTCGAGTCGCCTAACAGCCTCTTGGCTATGGATGATCGCATTTATAACGGCCTCCTCGCTATAGGAACTCTCGCTGCCATTTCACTAGTCTTCACGAGCTCTCTCTTGAGTTTCATCACTTGGCGAATGATAACTTGGAAATCCCATTACTCCAGCTCCGTCAGTCGAAATCAGTCAGTCGTGCTTATTTATCAGCTTATTCTAGCCGACTTATTACAATCGCTGGGTTTTTTGATATCATTTCACTGGGCGGCGGAGCGTCAGATCATTGGTCCGAACAAGACGTGTTTTTCACAGGGTTGGTTGATTCAGCTCGGAGACGTCGCGAGCGCATTCTTCGTCCTCTCCATTGCGATACACACGACATACCAAGTTATTATCTCCCGAAGCTTATCATACAAATCATTCATTTACTGTGTGCTTGGCATTTGGGGACTTTCTCTACTTCTTACATCTTTCGCGCCTATGATTGGTGGTCGGTTTGTGTTTCAGAGAGCTGGCGTTTGGGTGAGTGAATCTACTAATATGGAATCTAAATACGAGTGATGTCATCTAACACGAATACTAGTGCTGGATATCTGTCGAAAATGAGGGACTACGTCTTTCCCTCCACTATATATGGATCTTTATCGTCGAATTTGGCTCCATCATCGTCTACGCTACTTGTTTCTACTACCTTTTCCGTGCCAAACACTCGGATTCTATTGTAGTCCCTGCACGTAGTGCCGAGACTATGCGTAAAGCCCGAACTGCAATGTTAGCATACGCAATAGTTTATACAGTCCTGAGTCTTCCACTAGCGTAAGTTGTATGTAAATATTGCTTGACGATTTTAGGCTGACGCATCTTTAGTGCTGGGCGTATGGCTGGTATGTCGCACAATCAACTATCCGACGAGTATTATTTGTTTGCTGGAGCTTTATTTACTTGTTCTGGTTGGGTTGATACCATTCTCTATACCTTTACTCGACAGGCTTTACTATTCGATGAATTAAATGTTTACGGCCGCCGGCCTGGGACTAATGCGGAAGACGGTAATCACGGTAAAGATACGGGATTCCAGCGGCAAAGTAGCACGGACAGCATACTCGCTAATAATGGGTTTGGAAGTGTGAGAGGAATTAAAATGGAGAGAACAGTGAAGGTGGAATTGGACGACTTTGACAGCAGTACTAGCAGTGGAGGAATAAGACAAGAATACTATGCAACGGCCGAGGCTTTCAAACCGTGAGCAAACGGGTCGCTTCTGGAGGAATGTCAAGGAAGTACTACGGATATGAATTATAGTTATGCTTGTTCAAGCCGCTGTATACCGTTTCTGTAGTCGAATTATGAACAACAGGCACTATTTATTTAACCACCCCTTTTAATTATAATGAGTAACAAGATATTATTTAGCTATGTATATTTGAAAACGGCTATCTAGGACTTATGAGAAAATATCAGTACGTACATGGTTTATAAGATCGACTTAATGATCGGTTCAGTGATGAAGATAAGTCCACATTGTGTTAGTTGATATAAGCGAGCCTTGGTATTAGAGGACATAAGGTAACGCATAGAAGAGCAATCGGTGTTGCAGGATATTAATATATTTGATGTACCCCACAAGCAAATTAATTTCTAGAGTTATGAAATTTCTATAGTGTTAACTAAACTATGTAAGAAGTCATGCGATCCCATTGGAATAGCCGGCATGTAGATCCAAGGACGATTACCTCATTGGCATGCGAAAATGCCTCCTATTGGCTGGGTTGGTTCGAGGTAACAAAATAGCTTTCCCTGCGTCCCGGCCTCGTGTCTTTGGAGGCGTTTAGAAATGACAATCTATTTACTAATAATAGTAATATAATTGCAAATTGCGTTATTTTGATCGTCGACATGGCAAGTGGGTGACCATCTTCGATGCGGTGATTATGAGCGGCTCTATTGCCTCGAATATAGATTTGGTATCACTTCTAGGTGTTGATATATACATACGAACTTGTTACCTCAAAGCTCGTGAACGTCAAAGTGCCTCGCGCCAGTAATAATCGACAATTCCTCAATCTGTTGCGCCTTTCTTAGACTTCTTGGCTTTCTTGTTCCTCTTGTCACCAAATGCTTCCTCGTATACTTCTGCTGCCGTCATGCCGGCTTTCCTTTTGGACTGCTTTGCTTTCACGCTGACAACTGGATTAGATTGGCCCTTCTTGGTGGCCTTTAATACTTGCTTCTCTGCTTCCTCCCAGCCGGGCGCATCACCCTCAATCTCATACCTGTGGTATAATGTAAGTAAATTGATCTCCTTAAGCTACTGGGGGGTGAGGTTGATCTTACTGGTCAAGAGGGAGAGAGTCAATGAGTTCCCTCTGCTTCGCCCGCAATTCTTGCAATGCTTCATCTCCAGCCTCATCTAACTCATCATCTAAGCTCGTTTCGAGGGGTGCATATTTGTCGTCTACTACTTCGTCTTCGTGTACTCCAGACGCATTTTCCCTACTAACACCAATCGCATCTGATTTTGGCATATCAGCTTCGACGGCGGAAGAAATCAACGTCGAGAAGTGTGCTGTGATCTTTCGTATGATTTTCATAAACATGGCCAAGCCCTGTGATGACTCCAAGGATAGCTCTGTACAGATAGCCCCCACATCCTTGCGCTGCAAGCCAATTCCAAGCAAAAGGGCCCGCTGTACGCCTGTGAGCTTAATGCTTGGCTTTAGAGGGCCCGTGAAGTAGAGGTCTGCTAGTTTGGGCACAAGATCTAGAATGGCGTGATGATCTAATACACCCCTGGCATAAGATTCCAATCTCTTGCAATCGAATGGCGTTAGGGCCCTGTCTAATTCTGATTTTGTTAACTCAGGCAGCTGGTTTGTCGGATCCAGCTGAGCACCGGTTGTGGCAGATTGATCTATACTTAATGCGAGAACACACGGGAAATCGCGGAATCTGTATGATAGTAGAGCAAGGAAACGGCGATGGAAGTCGGCAGCGAAAGCTCCAAGCCATTCTCGGTCATCTTTTAGTGGCCTAAGCATGACGCAGGTGTGCTCGCCGGTTAAATCATTAGCTGTTTGTCTCTGTGAGAGTGTTAGTTTAAAGGTTTAGCATATAGGAGGAATTGCTTCGGATTTAGGAATCTTACCAAGTATACTGGTATGAATAGGGCGCGCGACCAGAACTTATGGAGCGCTTGAGTTAACCCATAGCTCACACCAACATATTCGAGATTCTCTGCCTTGCGTTCCGCCAGTCTCGAGAATAAGGGTTGCATCTTATCGATATCTCGAATCTTGATATCTTCATGAAGCAGACCACCGCTTTCGCCTTCTGTGGCATCTATAGCCATGCTATCAGTGTTCTTGGCTAAGACGTCGTTGTCTTCTCCTAAGTTTACGAATTTGCCTTCATAGTAGTCGATAAGAAGCTCGAGCGCTTTCGAGCCGTATCCCATAGAAACACAATCTGGATGGGTTGCTATTCGAACTACGCGAGCACCAGAGAGAGAAGCAAAATCGTCTTGGAATTGCTGACTGACTAGCCAAGGAATCAAGTCTCCAGCAGGCCTCTGACCTCGGTCTAAACCAGCCATCACACTCTTCTTGCTAATATTTCCTTCTAGTGCTATCTGAACAACGCATAGAGGCTCGGGCAGACCATTTTCTTGAATTGTAGACGAGGTTAACACAAAGAGCTCGTGCGCTGGAGCGTCGCTAAGAAGCTGAAGGTCATCGGGAGAATTTTTGTAGTGACTGGTGACGAAGAGGGCTACCATCTGTCGAAGAAATCTCTCTGGTACTGGATGGAAGGAGAAAAGCGTATCCCGGTTGACATGTAACAGCTGACATTGAGAAGGATCTGGGAATACGCTGTTCTTTGGTTTCGAAGGGGTCACGTCCAAGCAGAGAAGTGCGTTCAACCACTTCTCGACTGCATCGCCCTTCCCGTAACGTATCGGCTCAGCAAGAGTGACTTCTTTTAGAGATCTTGGACTTCGCGTTTCACCATCCTGCGCCACACTAGTTGCTGCCTGCTCCTTTAGCTGTTTTATTAGTTTGAGTGATAGAGATCGCCCAGTACCTTCATAGCCGCTTATTGTAGAGGCCATGAATACTGTGTAAGGTCCCAAGAGCTTTCGCACCAGCGCTTTCGGGTATTAGCACATACTTATGAAGTGGAGGAAGAAACCTTACGTAGTGGAATGGCGGCTGCTTCATCAATGATAACCAGCTCTGCTTGTCCTAGGACGTGGGCATCTTGCGGTCGTATGTATTGTATAGTCTGTCGGTGATTCCGGAAAATGTTGACCCTGACGATTGCCTTCTTGAAGTCAGGGTTCGTAGACTGAATAATGGAATAATCCGTATGGTCTTGATAGTTCAAGGCGTCGAATGCTTTGAATACGAATTCGAATAGCGTGCCTAAATTTTCCGGAGAAGGTGATGTAACGAATATGTTACTATAGCCATAAGATACAGCAGCAGCAATAGCAACACCCACTACTTCAGTTAGTCAGTTGCTTGTGGAGTAGATTAGGAAACATACAAGCTGCTGATTTACCACGACCACGGGCCGCAGTTAATGAGACAGTATTGCGAAGTGTCTTGGAAGCTATGGCATCAACGAATGTAACGAGAGCATCTGCTTGATCCTTTGTCCGGGCAAGTTGGACCAAAGATCCTATCGGTTGCGTATCCCGAAGCGACTCCTTAATCTTCTCTAGCTCTATTTGCTCCGGAGACTTTTTCTCCTCTTTTGGCGGTAGTGGCTTTACCCCCCTACCACCAGATATAGGGAGAACATTTAGCTCATCATCAATAACAAGGCAAGACTCGCACCGTCCTAGAGATAGCAGGAATCGTTCGTTGAATCTCGCGACAACGTCGTGGTGGGCTTCGGTTCTGTAGCGCGCGTGAACATCCATCGAGAGGGTATAAAGTTGTCTTAAGCTATCCATTCCTTTTAATAAAAGCACAACTAAGCCGCCCCCTTCGACTGTTTCGATAGTACGGGCTAGCGTATTGGGAGTAAGGGCCTCGAAATCTTGTAGGATACACTATAGAAAAGGAATTAGTATGCGCGCAACGTACGGCGTGTTGGTCTCGACTTCTTACCATGCCAAACGTCCTACCAAGGATTTTGTCGGTCTCCTTGTAATATACATATCTAACATCGTGTAACGAGACGAAGAGTTCGAAAGGGTCTTCTGAATTGGCTTCTCGAATACCGCGCTTGATCTCTTTCTTGATCTTAGCCTCTCGCTTTTTTCGGTGACTGGTGAAGCCGAGAAGCTTGTTTTTGTAGGCCCATAGTACAGATTTGTTCTGGCGCAAATCCGTCTGGGACATTATGTAGTGAAGCTGGACGATGACATCCTTCGATCGGTCACCGACCACGATGAAGAAGCTGCGCTTGTGCTCGGCGAGGCCATTTCGAATTAGAGTAGGAATGCGCGAATCTCTAGAAGATAATACCGTTAGTTATTTCCAGAGAATTGATGTTATATATTGAAAATTGAACGTATAATATATATCACTTACACAGCTTTTCGCACCATCTTGACGTCCTGCTCCTGTGCGATTCTCTCAGACCGAAAATCGTGAGCGAAGCTTGGTTTTGGATCCTAGTCGGCGCAAAAAAAGTTCCCCAAAGAAACATTATTCTGCCAGGCGGTGAAGTATTTCTGCCGGGCGGTACCCCACTAAGTACTGTTGTACTTCTACACTAATTTCCATGGGTTACCTCATATATAGAGGTACATACCTAGGTACCTAACCTCCTAGCTGCAACTTCAAAATGCAAGATCTACCTACCTAACATACATACGTATCAGTCACTTATAAATAAGCCTTCCAATCCAAAAGAATCAATCACGTATATTAGACGGAGGCTATGAACGTAGCAGAATGTCAATAGAGACAGATTTTCCTCGTGTAATCAGCTTCGCACTCAAGGCGTGGTAAACCCGTAAACCCGTCGCCAACTTAGAATTCCTCATGTTTGAGGAATCTTTCATACGGATAACGCCAAACGGCCTGTCCTAGAAATAGAGGGAATCATAATACCGCCAGACCTAACCCGAAATGATACAACAGCCAGTCCTGTCTAACAACCCGTTCCTTTTCCGTACTCTTCCCTCATCTAGTGCCGAACTTGCGCATAATCTGCCGGGTTATACGCATAGCCCCGATTCGGTTGCGGGTCATTATTATATGCGCCCTGGTGGCGATGCTCCTCCGTGGTCTCCTGATGAGTTGGTAATTCAGCTGCGAATCCCTTGTGATCTAGCCCGGGAGACGCGAAACCGGCACTGCCCGTATCCGAAGAGTACGAGGTAGGCCGGGAGCTCAGGAGGGACGGACTCGGTTGGCCTTGAGACCACCCCCAAGATTTGAGCTCAGGAGAGTGGGATTGCACCGAAGATGGGGAATTCCGGCCTTGCTGCGGGTATGTTGGTGACGAGTAAGGCGGTTGTAAGTGTGGTGATGACTGCGGATGGTGGAAATCACCGGGTAATTCCATAATGGCGTTCGAATCGATTTGCTGGAATTGAGCCTGCCAATGCGCTGGGTAGCTCATTGAATTTGCTGTTCCTGGTCGACTTCCCTGCTGTAGTGATATCGGCCTTGGGACTTGGTATGGTATTGATGGCGACATTGGTGGCGGATGATATGGGCTTGCTGGTGATAGTGGTGGTGATTTCATCCCTGCGCCTACACTCAGTCCACCAGTGTAAGTACTATTATTAGGATTGAACGTTCTAATCTTCCCGTCCTCGATCATTCCTTGTAATATTCCGGCATCAAGTAATTCTGCCTTTTTAATGATTCTCTGTATCATTTCTTTACTGGCCGTTTTCATCTGCGCCTTTACTATACCGACCATAGTAATATTACATCGTATTTCGATGTCCTCTCTCAGGTAAAGTCCATTGGTTGGTGCACCGAGCGCAGCAAGTCCAATCTCTTGATGTTCCGGAGGCTCAACACCGGGTTGGTTTCCTCCAATGCGATACTTGTTTCGGAGGTCGACACCCATCGGCGCGTAAATGTGCGTTTGTAGACCCCATGGGAGATCGTGAAAGCAACCGTTAAACGTGATCTTCCCAGACCCAAATCTTCCTATGCCAGGGACGTATTGAATTCGCTCGTGTATTTCATACCACGTTGAGAAAAATTCATCGGACACGGCATCGCGAGGTGCCTTGATTTGTTTGTACTCGAGTACGAGGGGATTCAGCGTTATGACTTCGCCGTGGCTGTGGAGAATGTCGATTGCTAGCTGGCGGGGTATAAAGCTAGGAATGGGTGTTATTACCGTATATACTTCTTTCTTTTTAAGTACCATCGCGGGCAACCCGAATTTCGATATTCTTGCCTCGTAATTTGGGTAGGTAATTAACTTGAGGCGATGATGAAAAAAAGTAAGTTGATGATCAGAAGAATAATCTCCCTCGGTTTTATTATACGCAAGCCTGCTCAGCCGATCGCATATTTATCGCTGCGCGAAAGGAATAGGTTGGGAGGCTTATTGTCGTACAGAGCCTAGCAAGGTGATTGATGGGTAGAACAAGATGGTTGATGGTTGACAAGTAGGTAGAACAAGGTGGTCAGCACATCAATAATACCAGCTTCCTAGGTTAGTGTAATCTATTCTTAGTCGTAGGGCAGCATCAATCACCTATTCAAGCCCGGTAACAACCGACTTCCTAAGCCACATATAACCCTCGGGAACCAACAGGCTGGGCCCATCTTGGCAACCTTGGTTTGATCTCCGGACGAAAAGATGTCAGGGAGTTTTCCATTTAGTCATTTACGTACCTAGGATTCTTCTTCCGCGTCATAATGATCAGCCAGCTGAACCAGTAAAAACACCATGCTCTCGTCAGCGTAGACGTAAATCACGGAACCAGATCATACAGACGTAAGTACATTAGTACATTAGGTACACAGAAGAGTTGGGACTTTTTGAGAAGGCTGATAACATAGCGTGTCGTAAAAAGCGATGATAGGCTGCTCATTTACTCAAGTGCTTACGAATTGCATACGTTTTCAAGATGTGCCAATGAAAAAATGGTGGAGTATCTCCAAAAGGCCCGGTAGAATCACTCTAGAATAACCATCTGAAAATGAGAGATTTTGCTTTAGACCTAGTAATACACAACGTCTCTCACCCATGCGGTGTTACCTTGCTTTCTAATCCTACCAGTTACGCGGCATCTCTTTAACTACCGCGTCTTAGTAGATGATTTCTGAGAATCTAGAATGAGATACTGCATTCCCCCACTTCGTATTCCCAGCTACCGTTTCCAAGAGCCCCAACCCTAGATACAACCAATTAAACAGCTCAGAGCAATCTGCCCTATCACGGGGTGCGTATAATGAGTGTCTGATAACGCGTTTGCTTTAGCAGCATCTAAATACAGAAAAATATAAATAAAGATTTTATATGTGCAGTTTGACGATCTTTACGGCATATATAATCAGCATTAATACCTTCTTATTAAGGCCAGCCAGCTTTGTCTTTAATACAATTCATTAGGAAATTGCCAATGCTTATTATTTGCTTGTATCTAGTCTCCCTAGAACCGAGACCTACGTAACAGAGTTTTTTTTTCTTCTTTTTTCCCCTCCTCGAAAGGCGTGCTTTTTAGTAACATCGTGAATCAATATGAAATATAGCAACTACAGTCTTAAGTTTAAGAACTGTAACTAGTGTACATAGTGCAAATTAGCTTGTTTATGAAAGAAAGAGCTAAGAGGTGACATGCAAGAGGGTGCCCATAAAGAATAGGCTTGTCCCATAACAAGACGATTGTGCAATCTTATACCTGGCGCTCAGTTAGAGTGTCTAGGCTATTGCCAATTACTCAAGATGAGCAGGTAGTTGTCAAAAGAACTTATCGGCGTGAGGCCGCAAAAGTCCACCAACGAACGGCAGAGAATAAAACCATCAACGAGGACTTTTAAATGCCGCAAACGAGGCCATGGACAAAAGTCACAAAGAGGTATATTTCCAAGTTTCGGGTAAGTCATCCTAAAGAAAAAGAGGTTGACCAGAAATCATTGGCGAGGAATCCTAGATGCAGATGAAAACTGGGTATCATGGCTGTAAGTGCATATGTAGAGTTGTACTTGGATGGCGTCCATGGATCAGTGTTGATGATCAAAGTCAGGGAGATAAACCAGGCATTGGGCCCGTTGATAAAGTCAACTTGAACTGGGGTGCTGAATCGCAAATGATGAATCGCATATGAAAGCCGCAAGAGGAGTGATGCATGTAAAGTAGGCCATCGACGTAAAATATGGTCGTAAACGGGCCCCAAAATGAACCGCGACCGAGTGAGAAACTGTGTATGGAGCTTTCAACGAAAAACAATAAATGAAGAACCGTGCCGGGGGAAAAAATCCTTTTTTTCTTCTTTTTTTTCCGAATAAAGACGCGTATTAGAATCGTTGCCGAGAAACCATGAATGAAAAACTGTAAAAAAAAAGAAACCGCGAAAACCTCGTGCTGGAGTCGTAAATAAGTGACCCTTGACGAGAAACTTGAGATATAGAGCTGCGAGACTGCAGCTATGAGATCTGAGGACAATAAATGTCCAACGAGTACGAATATATCTAACCCGTCTGCTATGGTGACTTATAAAGGAGCTTGGATCCGGTCGTAGGTTCGATGTAAGGAGTCCTTGTACAGGCTTCACAGAAGTTGCATATTGCTGAGCCGGAGCCCCTGTGCCATGCTCATTGCTATAATTATATAGTTAGTAATTTTTTTTAATAAAGTTTAGGATTTTGATACGTCACATACGGTTTCCTCCCCAGTAGTATCCGGCGTCAATCGTTTCGAAGATTCTCTCATGCTCCTCAAAATCAGAAGGATCTGGCTTCTGGTAAAGAAGCGGCTCCCCATTCGCAAGATCGGCTCGCTCGCAGAGGGAACAGATACAGTCATCGCCGGGGACTGGCGGGAAAACACGAGCGATGTATTTTCTGACGCTATCATCGATGTAGTTATGGACTCCATCGACAGTCCATACCTCTTCCATATTATCCGTCCAGGTCCAACCCCAATCACAGCGTACGCCGTATTTCGTGAAGTTGGTGAGATGCCTGCGTGAATTCTTGTAGAATAACAATTCGGGATGCACGTAGTGGGGGCGCTCTAGGAGAACTCGGTGGAAACCCCATGTGCTCAGTTTCTCGATGCGTTTATGAATAGGTCGCAGAGGCAACCCCATTGCCTGTAGTTTGACTATCTCTTTGGGATAAGGTTTCCCGAGGGAATTCCAGAGTTCCCAGTCGCCTATCATCACGATATCGTTTTCAAACGAAATAAGTGGTCCCCTCACCTTACGGGAAGCCGGCATGATCTTTCCATAAAGAAGGTCTCCGTTCCTGACTCGCTTGTACATCTTAGTCGCATGGAGTTTAGCCTCCTTACAAGTAAGGAATAAGGCAGGGCAAGGAGCTGACTTGATTCTGCGTAGGCGATACGTGTCCTATAGCAACAATAGTTAGCAATTACCATCATAGAATGACGAGCATTACGAGGTTTAATATGTCTTCGGAGTAGGGCTTCCCAAACAAGCCAGGGAATTGGTTGTCACTTAAGACAGGTAAGAGAGAATAAATGAATTCTGAAACATACCACGAATCTGTCTTGTGTCCACACCGCGAAACCCCAGATCATATGTCTCAACTCCGACGGGAGTTTTGGGAACAGGTGGAATGTCTCCGGGTATGACACGGTCGGTGGAGTGTTCCGAAACTTCGTCAACCGTATATTGAATCTATCGTCATAAGTCCAGAACCACTTCTTGTGAAATCCCCCAGCTATCTGGAGGAAGATCTCGGCAATCTCCTTGATCTTCTCGGGGCTAACAAGTTTCTGACCCTCGGCAGATATATTCTTCAGAACAGTAGCATGCAATTTCGGGTACGCTTGATGCAGCTTCGTTCTGAGATACTCTTCACGATTGGTTGGCATTGCTGCCATGTCTAGTCAAATTAATACCATGTTAGATAGTACAACAAAAGCTGATAACTAAAGTAGCAGGAATTAGGTAGACATGAGTTACATTGATTTTTGGGATGGGATAAAAGCAAAATTTCATGGAGACTCACCAACCGACCTGCGGAATTTTTCCAGAATGGGTATACGGTCGATATGCCAACGAAGCTTCCTGATAATTCCGACCTCGGTTAGGTCGAGTTCTCTTGATATACCGTCGTCCTCAGTTTCGTCGGATTTGAGCATCAAATCGTGCATCATATCGTGCAACGAATGGTTAGCGGGAACAGCCGATGTAGAAGCCATCTTTGCTGCTATCTGACTTCTGTAAATTCAGGAATGACTATCTCTTATAAATAGTCAATGTGCCCTTGGGAGGTGAAATTATTCAAGAGCAGTTGGTAGATATGGGTAATGCTCAAACGCGAACTTGATGTTATCCGACTCGTGATCGAGTGCGTAAAAGAATTCAGTTGATGAAATACGCATCCAAGGCGCGCTTAGTAGTAACGGGGAAGAAACGATACCAATAGAAGGGAAGAGAGTAGCGCGTGGCAACAACGCAGAGGTACTGGCTAGTCCTTAAGGTAGAGAAGTTATCTCGGAGTGTAAGGTTGAAATATTGATGATGAAGAGGTGGAAAGTAAAGAAGGAAGGTTCAGAAAGGATGAAGAGTAATGTCCTCTCTAAGAAATCGAACTGCCTGAGGACCAAAACCAGTATTTGCGGAATTCCGAGAAGGCACCCACAAGCGCTTCTACCTACTGATGTGGTAAAAGAGGCAAGATGTCACCCATTTGTATGGTACGGAGAAGTTGGGGGAAGGTAGGCTTCTCTAGGACGCCTTCTAAGGTGGCAGCTGTGCAGTGTTTGGTTGACAAGAAGTGAATGAAAGGAAAGGAAGTAGGAAGGAAATTGCAATTCTAGCAAGTCCCACCACTTTTATGCCACCGCCTACCTTGTTGCCTTCCTCCGAGAATCAGTCAGTTGTATTTTAACGGTTTAAATTGGCAGAAAAAAGGATCACAGGTGGCAGAGGAAGTAGGTGCGGTAGTTAAGGTAACGAAGGTACTTGATATTTTGGGTACCTAAAAGATATCAATAAGTTCAAGACAGTAAGTCATATGCAGGTGTCTCTAAGTGCAATATACATCATCTACAGTCACTAAGGAGCATTTAAAAGCAACGGAAAGTACCATCTAAAACCGTACATCATATCAAGGCTGGCTTTTCCTCCTTCGTCTCTCTCAGATTAAATTACTACATGACCAGATAACTCAACACCAATACAAAAACATACATCTCGTCTAACGTTGGTGGCATCCTTCAAACTAAATTAATGATAAAATGACTCGAATTTGATGGAGTATCTTATATATACTCCTACCAGCTACCTGTAGACAAATGGGGTTACTGATGGTCAGCTGCTTATTTGGGATATCGTCGCGTGTATTTAGTTCCTGGCTCTGCAGAGGATGCCATGATATTCTCGCCTTCCTCTACTTTATTGCTTTGATATCATCGATATTTGTGCAAGGTAGAGATGGTAGGTAAGTTTTTTATGCTAATTACCTTATTTGGGTGCTTCTGAAGATTATTTATGCTCTTAGGGTGTTTTGCCAGAGCCCTACCATATTAACAAAGAAAATCACTTTCGAAGAAAAGAGTGACTCCAATATGTACATTCTTAGGATAGGAAAGAGCAATATACATATATACCTACCAATCAGTTGGTTAATTGGTTGGTACATTTATTGTCGGGGGCGAGGGAGAAGGGCTAGTTCTTGCAAACACTTTCCTGAGGATATGTGGCGCGTGAAGTTACCTAGTTTAAAGATTAATAGATAGATACCTTTTATATTTTGTTTCCCAATATTTCAAAAATTTAATTTCATAAAGTATGGCGTATTATATGTGATTAATCATATATGGTGTCCAGATCTAATAGGAACATAGTTGGTTGTGTTAAAAAGAATGAAAGAACAAGTATAACAGGCTTGAACGCACTGGCGCCCCTTTCTCTGTGACAAAATGCACATGTGATAATATTTTAGCCGTTTCTGTTAACTTTCCAGATCCGCTCCTATTCAGGCCGCTACTAAGACGTCGGAGGTTTGCTTTAAGCCGTCCGGTATTCCGCTTGCAAGGCCGGAGGGCGTCTTCCGGCCGTAAATATTGCCCCACTTTGGTCCGGCAGTGGTCCGGCGGCTAGTACGGCGGTTAGTACGGAGGTTTCTTTCAAAAGTCAGCAGCTGTCCAGTGCTTAGCTAACACCTGTCAGATGATCCAGAGATGGATGCATCGTTATCACTTATATTCAATACCATATTTTACAGGCAAAAGTAATATTGAACTTAAGAAAGACAAATTATACCTAACACCCTCCTCCACCCCACCTCCCTCCCTATCCTCATGAAAGCTTTCCCTACACAATTTTATGATTTATTTTAAAGAAGAAATATTTCATTGAAGGATTAAAGTAAACCAAAATATGCTTGTTGAATAGGTGAGCAGCAGCAGCTAAGCATGGCTAAAACTTGTTGGGAGTGACAGGAGTCTCCCTATGTACGGTAACTTTTTTTTGAAATGGGCATCTATACACTTACTGATTGAGCGAATTCCTAATGCATTATATCAAGCTAGAGTGATTTCCTCGGCCATATTACCTAGTAACTTGCCCTGAAACTTTTGTATTTCCTTTGAAATATACTAGTGGTAATTACGTGATTTCTTTAGCAAATAAGCTCCAATAATTACCCCTATAACCGATTTTACTCCCTGCTTCCAAAGTTTCAACTTCGTTAAGCCGTATAGTCTCGTCTACGTCTTCACGTCTGGCTCGTCGCGTCCCACGTATTCCTTGAACTTCAACAGATCTGTGGCAAATTTGATTTCATCCTTGAGGAAGTCCTGGGCGTCTTGGCTATAAGTTGAGGGGTCGTTGCTGTACTTCTCGATATATAGACGAATGGTTGCACCGGATGATCCAGTTCCTGAAAGTCTGACAACGACTCGACTGCCGCTATCGAAGCGGGCGTAAAGACCCTGGTTTGAAGCGACGGAGCCATCCAGGTCAGTATAGGAGAAGTTACCAGCGTCAGTTACCGTGCGTTCTGTTAAACGTATGTCAGTATAAATTTTAGCTTACAGCCTAGGACAGTGTTTACATACCCCCTATCTTGCTTCCCTTAAAGTTAGGATCGGCGACAAGGTCTTCTAGTGTTTTGACAACCTTGTTTGCGCCGTCAGAGTCAACATTTTCGTAGTCGTAGCGGGTAAAGAACACCCGGCCATAGGTCTTCCAGAAGTCCTGCTGAATCTGTTTGATGCTTGGCTTAGTCTCGGGGTGGGCCTCCCCTAAACCGGCAATGATGTTAAGCCATGCTACGACAGCCCATAGTCCATCCTTCTCGCGAACATGGTTGCTACCGGTACCGAAGCTCTCCTCACCACAGATACTTAACTTATTTGCGTCGAAAAGGGCACAGAAGAATTTCCAACCTGTTGGTACCTCGTAGGAGTTCAGACCTTGAGCCTTAGCAACAAGATCGACAGCTCCAGACGTTGGCATACTGCGGGCTAATCCATACACACCCTGTTTCTTGAAGTAGGGGATGAGTTGTGCATGGTGGGCTATGATCGCTAGACTATCACCGGGTGATACGAACGCTCCGGCACCATAGATCATGTTTCGGTCACCATCACCATCAGACGCTGCACCGAAGGGGATAGAATTCTTATCGACGACTTCCACTAGAGAATGAGCGTAGGTGAGATTGGGGTCTGGGTGCCCACCGTTGAAATCGGGTTTGGGGACACAGTTTTGGGTAGAGTCGGAGAGTCCTAACTCCTGCTCGAAGATTGCTTTTCCATATGGACCTGTAACACCGTGTAGACCATCGAAGAGAACCTTGAAGTCGGGGTTTTCGGTGAAGAACTTCTTGATTAGGGGGAAGTCAAAGATATCCTTGAGCATCTGGACATAGTCTGCTGTGCTGTCGACGATTTCGACTTCTAGGCTACCGTAGGTCTTGGTCCCAACTGTAGTTATATCTACGTCGGGAATATCGGCAACCTTGTAGGAGGTGAGGGTTTTTGAGGCTTCGAAAATCTTGTTCGTTACACTTTCCGGAGCGGGACCGCCATTGGACAGGTTATACTTGATGCCGAAATCTTGGTCGGGACCTGTGAAAGCCACAGATTAGGAATGTAATTGTAATTGAATGTAATGGACTTACCACCGGGGTTGTGACTGGCAGTCAAGAGAATGCCTCCCGTAGCCTTTCGTTTTCGAATGACATGACTAGCAGCCGGGGTAGACAAAATGCCATTCTGGCCAATTAACAACTTCTTGACCCCGTATCCGGCACCAATCTTCGCAATTAGCTGGATAACCTCGGGGTTCCAGAATCGGCCATCACCTCCGATAACCAGGAATGAACCTGAGATGTTGAATTTCAGCGATTGTTGCTGTGTGTGTTCAGTGTATATTGAAGATACTCACCCTCGACGCCTTCGGGGATAGAGAGGAGAATGCTGGCAACAAAGGACTCGCTATAGTGAGGTTTTTGGAAAACCTTGACCTTTTTTCGAAGACCTGAGCTAGAGGTGTGTTAGTAATCGGGCGTAGAGTAAAATAATGTTCTGACGATAGCGACAGCGACAGCGGGGTAGCTTTGAATAGAGCTATTTACGCACGTTCCAGGCTTCTGATCGGTAAAGGGCTTGAACTCGACGGTTTTGACGCTCATGATGATATCTATCTCGAACTGAGATTATAAATAAGTGCAGAATAAAATCAAGCAGTTCACTTGCGTACGGGAACTTGGAAAGACTCGCGAAGTTATGAAAATGGAAACTTGTTCAGGGGATGAGGGGACATCAATAAAAAACATATGACGACGTTGTTAGTGGGGTAGCGTACAAGCTACCCTCCTTAGTTCCTATTACCATAGTACATACAAGTTACACAACACATCACTACTTTAAGGTTGCGACAAATAAAACGATCCAATAAGGCAATGTGATCTCATTAAGTGTGGTGGAGTATAAACACCAAGGAAGTGGCCGACCTAATATTCAACATAGTACTTGCTTAACATCTGCCTCAGATATAGAAATAAATAGAAAGGTGCTACATACCTAACGGCAGCATGGTGCGCTGATGGGATCCACATCGTACATTAAGCCCTCCCTATCAACAAATCAGCATATAAATCAATCAACTCTGTTACTTTGCATTGCCATGAGAACATCTTAGGTGCCTGTTGGGCAAGACGATATTAGAAGGGTTCCATTATTAACCAAACAATTTGCCACACGGAAATTTCTGCCCAATGCTTTTTTTTTTTCATATACTAATGAAATGAATTGACGAATCTATATTAATGATGGACCGCATCCCGCCTTTTCCGATACCGCGACAGACGCCGTCGTGAACGCCATGCTGAAAATTGGAGATATTTCGATACTGTATCATCTATTCTACTGGATACAATATTAAAACACTTTGAGGGATTTGAGCTATACGCCCATTGTTAGACTACCAGCTACGTAATATAGTCTACCCTTGACTTGTCCCGTCGTTTGCTTTATCAACGTGCTCAACGGCGTGGTCGAAAATCACCTCCTTGTAATATCGAGCCTCAGCAATACTCTCGAGGATATCCTCTTTCGCTTGGTGCAGTCCCTGCTTTGTCGGTGCATTTTTTATAATGCTTCTAGGACACCATCGCCGCGCGGCCTCCTTTAGAGTGCTGACATCCAGGATTCGGTGATGTAGGTAACTGACTACTTTCTTGTACGGCTCTTTTCGAAGGAATGCTCGGTCTGCGTGTACACTATTGCCGGCCAACACTGCGCCTCGCTCTGGTACATATTTCTTAATGTATGCTAGCAATTCATCTGCTGCTTGTTCAGGGGTCACCTTAGAGGACACCACGGCAGCCGTCAAGCCGCTATTCCCATGCGTCCGCGTACACCATTCGTCCATCTTGTCCATCCTCTCCTGTGACTGGTGGATGACGGTTCCCCAACCATTATCGTCTAAGACATCTAGCGTACCCGATGTGATAATACAGAAAATCTCAATGATTTCCTCACGATCAGGGTCAAGACCCGTCATCTAGCCCCTAATGTATTAGCTTCGTCATCATAAATCTGCGTACTGAGAGACGTATGGAACTTATTACCTCGCAGTCAATCCATACTAGCGCACCATTGCTTGCCATGGTTATTCGAGAAAGAGAGAACTTATGGTTAGTGATGAAAATGAGGATACAATTGTAACCGTAAATACGATGCGTTGATGCCCATTGTCATTTTATTGGGGGAGCAAATAATAGCGGTTAGTCTTTTTTTAATTTTATACATGATTATATAATCGATAGGAAATGGCATGCGAATTATAGCATAACACTAAACACACACCCGTGTGGAAGTTAGGCATTTAGGGCGATGGAAACAACCCAAGGAAATCCAACAAGATTTTATAAGAAAAAAAAAAACTGGCGTATACGGGTTACCTACATTGGTATATATCCTAACAATATCGCTCAGGAAAGAGAAGGTATATACAAACCAGCTAGCTTGCAGCTGTTAACGATATTATGACAGTTTCCACTACAGTTAGCCAATGGAATAGAACCTATCAACAATTTTTCTAGTTATACTAAACATTCTATACTTAGTCCGAGTTAACTGCTATTTGTTTAGGAAATAACTCTTATTACTCTTATGTACAAGTAAACGTGTGCACCCCTTGGCTAAGAAAGCCAATGACTCATTAGTGAACGAGCTACGGATTAGTAGAATCTATAAATATAATAAACCCCTGAAACATCTTGAGTAAACCCCCGAGCTTATACGTCCGCCCATCTCACATCAAAATCTTAGCAATAATGTCAGCTACTCACGATTTACCTTCTCAATCTGTCCGCTACCTACCCACGAATGAGGCTTACGACCGATGGGCGGCAGTTTACGATACAGACGGCAATTTTTTACAGGCGCTAGATACTATTGAGCTTAAGGCACTGTTCTCGAAGTTCCTGCTATCTATCACTTCCCCAAGGCCATGGCGTGTCGTCGACCTCGGCTGTGGCACAGGCCGAAACACCATGTTGCTTCTCGATGTTCCTGATGTTGCAGAGGTGGTCGCGCTAGACTCTAGCAAAGGCATGCTTGATGTCGCGAGATCACGACTACAGAAGGCAGATGATGTTGTTGGTATATCAATTAACAGCCCAGCGCGGGCAGCTCCGAAACTGCATCTCGAAGTGTTCGATATGTTGACTGCGTCATCTCCCCCGGTTGTCGCACAGCAAGCAGACGGAGTGATCTCTACTCTAGTCATTGAGCACATACCTTTGCCAACATTCTTCTCTCAGGTCTCGCAGATCCTAAAGCCGGGCGGTGTGCTTCTACTGACCAATATGCACGAGCAAATGGGTGCAATTAGCCAAGCCGGGTTCGTCGACGCTAATACGGGCAAGAAGATTCGGCCGACGAGCTACACGCATAGTTTAGCCGATGTAGTGGCCGAAGCAAATAAACATGGATTTGATATTGAAAGAGTTGGCGAAGGAGAAGGAGAAGGAGAGGGGATCCGAGAGAGAGCAGTGGAAGACGATATGGTTGAAGGGTTGGGACCTAGGAGTAAGAAGTGGGTGGGTATAATGTGCTGGTTTGGTGGCTTATTCAGGAAAAAGAGAGCTTAGATGAATACTACATGTTAACCTAGGTAGTGAGCTCCTACAAGAAAGGACTAGACTAAGAATTTGGGGTATGCATTTGGCTGTCAGTGATGACTCAAATTTGTAACGCGGGGAGTTGAGTAAAGCTGCGAATTGCAAGCCATATATACCATAGCGGAGGTAGGTAGGTCCATATAACTATTCCGTAAATATAATATTATTTTATCCGGTAAAACTATTCCATAAAAACTATATATTATAATTAATTTATTACATTTTATTAAATAAAACTATTTTATACTATGAAATTATTTTATATATTAAATCATTTTATATTATTTAATTATTTTATATATTAAAATTATTTTATTAATTATAATTATTACATTTATGTTGCACGGTGCACGGGCCCCATAGGCATAAGTGTAGCGTAGCCGCCACACCGGTTATGGATAATTAAAATATTAACCACTTTTATTATATAAATATTAATTATAAAAAAGATACGTTTTTTACATCTTATATTAAAAAAAAACTTTTTAATAACATTTAAATTATTATATATATTTAAATAATATTAATAATTATTTAATAATTATAAGTTTAGTTTATATTTAAGTTTTATTATAATTATATAATAATAAATGTAAATATTTTTTTTATTTTTTTTATTACAAAATTATCGGAATAATTACTTTATTTTTATATTATTATAATAAACTTATATAATAAAAACTTATTTAAAACTATTTTTTTAATTCTTACGGTTTTTTTAAATACCAGATATAATTATCCGCATTAAATATTAAAAGTAAAGTAAAATATTTTATAACTTAACATTTAAAAATAAATAAACCCCGAAAAATATGTATTTATTTTAAACTTTACCAAACAGATTAAAACTCCTATATTGGAAATAGTTAAATAAAACAAAATAAATATATTTAAATAAATTAAAACTAATCGTTAAAGCGGTAACATATTTTTTAAAAATATTTAAAACATCGATATTATAATTTTAAATATTACAACATTAAATAAAAATTTTAATAAAGTTTTAAAATAATATGCAATTATTTAAACGAAAGAAATAATTAATATTTTAACAATAAATTAAATATTATAATATATTTAAAAACGGTTAAAAATTATTATTAAATAAGAATTAATATTTCTTATAAAATATGATATATCATTTTAACGTTTAAATCTTTGTAAAAAGCTTTAAATAATTAATGATAATATTATATTTTAAAAAAATTATAAAAATTTATTAATTAAATAAAATATATAAGATAAATATGTAAAATAAGGTTATAAGTTATAAATATAAAAAAGTAACAAATATATTTATATTAAATATATAATTAAATGATAATAATTATAACTATTTAATTAAAAAAATATAATAAATATTAGATTTTTATATAGTTTATAATTAAAGATTATATAATAATATTTTTATTTTTAATAATATAATATTATATTAGTTTAATACTTTTTAAAATTAATAATATTAATAATAATAAAATAATTTTAATAAAAAATATTTTAATTTAACATATAAATTATTAATTAAAGTATTTTTAATAATAATAAATTAATTTAATTATTAAAGTTGTTTATATTTTTATTTTTTATTTTTAATTTTAATTTATTTAATATAGTTTTTAGTTTAATTAATTATGTTTTTAAGTTTTAACTTAATTTGTTTAAGTTATTTTTTTTAAATTTATCTTAACTTAATTAATTTATTAAAAAATTAAATTATAATTAAATAATAATAATTTTATATATATTAATAATGAACTGGTGTTAAGGTATTAAATGACTTTAACCTTAATCATGTAATTATATTTTTAATATAAGTATTATTTATAATTGCATATATTTATTTTATATAATATCATTTATTTTTAATATAAGTTATTCCTTTTTTTCATTATTATCATTATTTAAAAATCTTTAATATTAAGTTTAATAAGGTTTAATTTAAAGTTAAAACGTTTAAGTTTTATTTAATAATAACTTTTAATAATTTAAATCTGTAATATTAATTTTAAAAAAACCGTTATTATTAAACAAGAGTTAGTGTTTTTTACAAAGTATAACATATCACTTCAACGTTTAAATCCTCATAAAAGGCTTTAAATAACTAATGATAGCATTATACTTTAAAAAAACTATAAAAATCTATTAATTAAATAAAATATATAAAATAAATACATAAAATAAAACTATAAGTTATAAATATAAGAAAATAATAAATATATTTATATTAAATATATAATTAAATAATAATAATTATGGCTATTTAATTAAAAGAATATAATAAATATTAAACCTTTATATAACTTGTAACTTAAGATTACATAATAATATCCTTGTTTTTAGCAATGTGGCATTATACCAGTTCATTATTGTCGAAAATACCTTATTATAGCTTAATTAATAATTATTATAAAGTTTATAATATATTAATTAATAGTTAGTTTTACAATAACTTTATCGATATTTTTAACCGATAGTTTAAATATAAGTTAAATGATTTAATTAAATAATTTAAACTTTATATTAATTATATTAATTTATTTAAAAATATTTGCTTATTAGTTAATTTAATTATGTTTTAATATATTAATTAATTAATATAATATAATATAACCTTATTTATAACTTTATTAATAACTTTAACGATTATGTTATTTATTAATTAAGTTAATATAATTTTTAATATCGATATTTTTATATTTTAAGTTAAGATATATAATGAATAAGAGTTGGTATCTTTTATAAAATATGACATATCACTTCAATGTTTAGATCTTCGTAAAAGGCCTTAAATAGTTAATAATAATATTATACTTTAAAAGAATTATAAAGATTTATTAATTGAATAAGATATATAAGATAAATATATAAAATAAAATTATAAGTTATAAATATAAAGAAGTAATAAATATATTTATATTAAATGTATAATTAAAAAATAATAATTATAGTTATTTAATTAAAAGAATATAATAAATAATTAAACCTTTATATGGCTTATAACTTAAGATTATATAATAATACCTTTGTTTTTAATAATGTGGCACCATATTAATTTAATAAGATACGATATAATTTAAGAAGTATTATTATATTAAGATTTAATTATAAGTTAGTTTAAGATATATAAAAGCCATAACGCATTTTAACTAGTTAAATATTAAGAAATAAAAGGTAGTGAACAAGAGTTGGTGTCTCCTACAGAATATAACATATCACTTTAACGTCTAGATCCTTATAAAAGGCCTTAAACAGCTGATAATAGCACTATATTCTGAAAGAACTATAAAGATCTACTAATCGAATAGGATATATAAAATAAATATGCAAAATAAAATTATAAGCTATAAATATGGAAAAATAACAAATATATCTATATTAAATATATAATTAAATAATAATAATCGTGGCTATTTAATCAAAAGAATATAATAAATATTAAACCTTTATATGGCTTATAACTTAAGATTACATAATAATACCTTTACTCTTGGTAATGTGGCACCACACCAGTTCAGTAGTTTTATTAAATGCGTAAAGGATATAGGGATAAAGTTGGCAAAAGTATTAATAATTATTATATTTAAAGTTATGTTTAAAGTTATTTAAAAATAATATATAATACTTTTTAAGTTATATTATATTTAATATACGAAACGATCAGTTATAAGAAGTTAATAATAAAGGAAGTAAATTAATTAATCGATAAGTTATTAAGTTTATTATAAAGAAAATAAAAACTTAATTAATATTAAAGTTTATTTAAATTAATATTAAAATATTAAAGGAGGTAAATAGTTTAATTACGAGGGTTATACGATATTAAGATAAAAAAGGGAATGAAATTAATTAAGTTTATTATAAAAAAGGTAAAATTATATAACGATCTTTTATATAATCTTTATACGATAATTTTTATATTATAATTTTTATATATATTTAATTCGATAATAAATATTACGATTAAATCTATTATTATATAATTTTATATAATTAAAAGATATAATTTAATGATATAAGATATTTAATTAATGGATTTTAATTAAATTAGTTAAATTATATAGTATATAAATTTATTTAAAATATAATTTAAAACTTAATAATATTTAAGATATTAAAAAGGTTATATTATAAAGTTAATAATTAAAAGCTTTAATAGCTTTAATAGCTTAAATAGTGCGAAAATTTTTTTTAAAGTTTAAGATTTAATTTTTACTTATATTATTTTTTTTTTAAAATCCCAACCTTTATTTCATAGGTTAAATTTAATCTTATAACTTTAATAAAATTTGAAAAAAGGTTATAAACTGGTGTTAAGATATTAAATAATTTTAACCTTAATCATATAATTATATTTTTAATATAAATATTATTTATAATTGTATACACTTATTTTACATAATATTATTTACTTTTAATATAAATCATTCCTTTCTTTTATCATTTTTATCATTTAAAAGTCTTTAATATCAGGTTTAATAAAGCTTAATTTAAAGTTAAGACGTTTAAGTCTTATTTAATAACTTATATATATAAAATAAATTCTTTATATTTATATTAATTAATTTTATATGGTTTAGAATTATATTAAATAAGATTTAAAAGTCTTGGCTTTAGATTAAGTTTTATTAAACTTAATATTAAAGATTTTTAAAATGATAAAAATGAAAAAAAGGAATTATTTATATTAAAAGTGGATGATATTATGTAAAATGGATATATGCGATTATAAATAATATTTATATTAAAAATATAATTATATGATTAAGGTTAAAATTATTTAATATTTTAGTATTAGTTTATAATTTTCTTTTAAATTTTATTAAAGTTATAAGATTAAATTTAACTTATAAAATAAAGGTTGGAATTTTAAAAAAAAAATAATATAAATAAAGATTAAATCTTAAACTTTAAAAAAAAATTTCGTATTACTTAAGTTATTAAAACTATTAATCATTAGTTTTATAATATAACCTTTTTAATATTTTAAATATTATGAAACTAGTATGGTGCCACATTACCAAAAGTAAAGGTATTATTATATAATCTTAAGTTATAAACCATATAAAGGTTTAATATTTATTGTATTTTTTTAATTAAATAACCACAATTATTATTATTTAATTATGTATTTAATATAAATATATTTGTTATTTTTTTATATTTATAGCTTATGGTTTTATTTTACATATT